TGGGGCTGGATATATTGATATACTCCACTCAAGCTTCATCGGTTTGTCTTTTGGAAGATAGTCACGAACTCATTTTACAGAGAGTTGTACTTAAGTTTACCAGGGATTGTTTGGGGGTGCAATGCAAGGAGGCCGGGGAGAGGTTGGTCCGTGAGTCCACAGTTACAAGCAGACAGGAGTGCTAGTATTCTATTGCATAGCAAGGTTAACAATAGTAATGCACTGTACATTTCAAAAGAGATAAAGGGAAGGTTTTCAGATAGTCTCATCACAAAAATATAATAAATGAATAAATGTTTAAGGAAACAAATATCCTCATCACTCTGATTATTCATTCCACAACGTGTACATGTGTCAAACTGTCACACTGCATGCCATAAAAATACACAATAATTATGTGTGAACTAAAAATTAACAAATCTGGCTGAGGGTGTAGCTCACTGACAGTGTGCTTCCCTAGCATGTGTGAGGCCAAGGGTTCTATCCTCAGCACCAGGAAAATAAATGAAACAAAGATCAATTATTGGCAATTTGAATCAAAGCTCTGTGATTCCAGCTGGCAGCTTCTCTGGTTCTCTAGCTGGCCCATCTTAACATTTTGAGTGCCTTAGTTTTGGTTCTTGTGACAGTGTATAGGAAAGTCAAATAGAAGAATGAGACCCTTCTCTAATGTCGGAGAATCTGGGGAGTCAGTGAGCACACAGCCCAGGGATCACAAAAGCTTATGCCTCAGGGCATCTGCTCCTCCCCAGCTTCCTGGAGGGGGCGGTGGCCGGAGGGAGGCTGGGAAGTCAGGTCATGAGTGTTTCAGCGTTCCCAAGCTCGTTAGCGGTAAACCAGAATGTTAGACACATACAAGTAAAGTCGCTGGAGTAACTGGGAGAGGAGAGAGAAAATCAGAGCTGCCACTCACCCTCCTGCTCAACCCAAGCTCTGAGGAGCCACTGAGGAGGGCGCCTTACTGACTTCTTGAGCTACAGGGATTGAAAGCCACCGGACTTGACGGCCACTTATGTCCTTTGGGACTCGATGAGTCTGTGAAGGGGACTGGAGCAGGCTCTACCGGCCCTAGGAGGAGGCCTTTGCACTGCGCCTGGGTTAAACTGAGGGAGGAGAGGACAGTATAATCTTTTGCATATTCCTCCTTGAAAACTGGGAAGGGGAAAGGCAATGCCTGCTGCATGGGTGAAGATGAAAGCCACCAAGTGTAAGACACACTGAACACGGTGCCTGGACTACAAGTTGTACTGGCTAAATGGTCTCTTCTGTGATTTTATTTTTTCTTGTGTGTATTCTAAATAATACACTACATATGTCACTGTGTCAGTAAATGTCTTTGGCATATCCACTTACGCCCCTCAGGCATTACCTAACTTGAATTTAAAGGCTCTGAGTGCCTGCAGGCACAGAGACACTCAGACAAAACATTCATGGGAATGGCTGCTCCCTGTCCCGCCCTTGATGGATGGTCACATGGGACACAAAGACCTTCAAGGAGCTGGAAGGACAAGTGAACGGAGAACAACTGTAGGGCAGGAAGGGCTACAGCAGAGGTAAGTGCGAACTCTATACTGGGGGGTACTTTTTTGAGACTGAGAACTAGAGTCAAAGCGGGCATTCCTTTCTAGTTGGACACGGTGGGACACCCCTGTAGTCCAGCTATTCCAGGAGGCTGAGGCACGGAGATCATAAGTTTGAGGCTATCCTGGGCAAATTAGCAAGACCTTGTCTCAAAACAAAAATTTAAAAAGAACTAGGAGAGTAGCTCAGCTGCAAAATGCTTGCCTAGCACATATGAGGTACCACAATCACACACAAAAAAAGATTTTATTTTGATTTCTTATCCTTTACTGACAATGTCTACAATCGTTCATGTTGGCAACAAATGGTCACTATATTTCTTTATTCTCTTAAAAAATATGTACAAGAGTGGTTCTTGCAATTTAAAACCCTGGACTGAAGCTTCCTTTAGAAGAACAATTGATTTTACCATCAAAACTCCATTTAAGTATTAGCTATGAGGGCGCAGGGAGCCAAACACCCATAAATAGTTTGCAGGAATGTGCGTTTTCTCCTTAAATCTGATCTATAATTGTGTGACCATGAACCTGAGAACTTTAACATGAGGAACTGTAGGAACTGCTGTGTGTCTCTTGACCAAATCTGCGTTGGTTAAGCACAGTGATGGATTGGAGACTATCCAGGCAAAATGGCGTTTCAGTAATAACTGCACCGTTCTCTCAACTCCAACTAGAATGAATGCAAGAGACAGATTGGCTGGGGAAGGAAACAGTATCCAGACGTGCATCTCTGTGTTAATGCAGAGCTCTTGAGTGGAACCACATTCCAGCAGACTGTTAGGCCGGATCTCTGCAAGTCTAAACCTCCAGGGACACTAAAGGTCAAGTTCTAATAGTACAGGTGTAGTGATAATACAAAAAGCCCTCAATGGTCTTTTATATATCCATTCATTCAATCTATAAATAAGTACTGAATGTATTATATGTGCTGATATTTCTCATTCAAAGAAGCCCTAGGAGTTTCTTGATTCTGTCTTCCACTGAGCTGCCAATGGACTTGCCTTCATGATTTTTCATGTCACAACCCACACTGGAAAAGTCTATTGTATGTATTCTAAGAGTACCATTTTACTTGTCTCATGGGGTCTCTCATCATCTGTGTATAATCCAAGTAACAAGATAGTTTCTTTTAATGAATACTGCTTTCCACATATTTATGTAATACAAGAGAAAGGCGTCACTGTAATAAATCCATGTATTTAAGAGAAAAATAAGCTCTGAGCTCATTTCTGGAGAGCTGGTAAGAACCTGCCTTTCATTTATGATGAGAAAAGTTAATTTATGCATTTGTAGAATAGGAAGAGTAAAGGTGACTATAACATCAGCTAGTGTTACTGGTTATCCCCGCTCACTGAGTTATTACATTGAGTCAGTGACCTCAAAATCATATCCCTCCTGTGGGAGAGAAATGACCTGACCCTAGGGAAATGAAGCAGCCTCTGACTTTGCCACCTGGGCTACAAAAAGAGAGCTGAAAATGCCTAAGAGCCACATGCTCAGAGATTAATGAGGCGTTTGTGTCCACGAGAAAACAGTTCTGCCCAAATACCATCCACACGAACGCCCCTCAGGTTAAGTGCATAGGCAAGCGGTGCAGTGAGGAGAGGACCCTGCCAGCTCAGCCGCAAGGGGACATTGCACGCCCACATCTACCAGGTATCAATCTAAAGTATTCAAGATTGGCTTCTTGTTTGAGGGGAAATGATGTGTTAGTACAAGGCTTGCTTTACAAAAACGTTTAGGAAAATGTCTGTCATACAAAAAGCCTAATATCTAGCATCATTTTGGGGTGTAGGTTCTGTTCTTTGCATCTACAGTATGCAAGTTTTCTCCAGAAATGTGCTTGTAATTTCACTAACCAGTTGCACCCTAGGATTTCAAGTTTAAAATTCTGCTCCATAAGGAGGTAAAATCATGAAGGAAGATATCTTTAGCTACCCAAGAATTTCTGCCTCACTGGGTGTATTTGTTGCTTTACAATGCGTCAGTGGAAGGTTTCACACATAAATAGGTCCCGAGAAGACGGTGACCTTAGAAAACGAGTTCAGGAGAGACAGTGAGAGACAAAGGCGCTGACTGCATGCATGAAGGAAGTAGATGTGTCTTGATAGGGTGGGCATGTGGAGTCATCTGCACAAGGCAAAAACAAAAAGGTAGTTTCAGCAGTGACCCCCAGGCCCTTTCCGCCCGCTGCTGAGTACGTTCAGCAGTGGACATTATTTATCCCCTGCCTTCTGTCTTCAGAGCTCTCTACTGGGCATGAATTTTGAATTCTTCAATACCAAATAGTGAAGACCTCACGACTGGAACCCCGATCAGATGCATGGTTCATCTGGGCAGAGCTTCTTCCTCATCCAGGAGGGAGACGCTGTCTACCTTAGGTAACAATTTGTACAATGGTAACTGGTCCTATTTTAAATAATTCGATATGAGACGGATAAAAATATTGTTTTATAGAAAAAAATACCTTTCCAAATGGGTTCTCCACTTTTTCAGGGAATCAAAGATTTGGATTGTTAGATGAAAATCAGCTCATATTTAATTGTTTTTCCTTTTGGCTCCATTTCACAAACCTGTGTCTTTATTCCTAAAAGCCTATTTGAATGCTCCCTTCCTTTTTTGGCCCCATTCACTGAGTCTAACAAAATCATGCTCTCCTTTTTCCTTAACCTACTCATGCAGAATGTACTTGACCCACAGCATCATTGCTTCTTATGGTACCTATACAATATTTTAAATTGGGAATAGTTTCTTTTGAAAGACATCTTCAGAGTTGTTACAATAGAGCTATCTAGAGGCAGGGAAAAGGCTTAAAAGACCCTGTATGAGCCAGCTCATTCCTTAGGTTCTCTGATTTGGAATTTTTTGTTGCTGTTACTCTCTTGATGGAGTTAAATGTGCTCATTTCAGCCCAGCAAACAGTTCTGCACGTGATCACCTCTAGCATTAAGAGAAGATGGTGCTGGACATGGTGACTTTTCATTGTTCATCCAGCCATTCATTCACCAGACATTTACCAAAGGAATTAAGAGAGTAGGCTCTGAGAGCTCAGCTTATAGTAGTGACTAAGACCTAGCCTCTGCCCTTGCAGGGGAAGCAAAAATGTAATGTGAAACGTACAACAGTGGGTATAGACAGCAGACGTGTCAGGGAGCCCAGGTGCGCTAAACTCACTTCTGAAGAATCAGAAGAGACTCCGCTGAACCTTCTTAAGCAGAAATCCTTCCTGTTCCTTAATTTTTATGGTGGCCACCCGGTAAATGTGCACTAGAGAAGCATTCATCACATCAGTCTCTCAAGTACCAAAGCATAGCACGGTTCTGGAAAGCAGGCCTGCTTGTAGTCACTCCCCAAATCATGGCATATAGCTCAATGCAAATGAAGAGAAACAGCTATTTGTTGCAAATTTGCATTTTGTACCTTTGTTGAAGAACAGATGTGATCTGCTTGCAGAAATTCTCTCCATTTTGAGAAAGTTCCTTAAGGCTCTTGTATGCCTTGTTGTACTGGAGGGAAAAAAAATGAACAGGAGGATCATGAGTGCTTACAAAGACAGAGCTCCCATAAATTCAAAATGCTACTGTGACAGTGGCCGTCATCTTCAGTGACCGCAAGGCCACGGGGACGCACGATGTTTGGATGAGTTCTTAAAATAAAGATTAAGCCTTCTCTGCCTGGGTATGAAAAATCCTGGAGAACTTTTCGAAAACAAAGTTGATCCATTATCTTGTAGGCCAAATGCAAACAATTCAGCAGCACTTGGAGTCTAGTTTTATGTTACCTTTATTATTCTCAGGAAGGTCAAAGCACATTCTTAAGGACACCACATGCCCACTTCATGTCCCCCACCTCCATACTAACTCTGCTCAATATTCCTGGATTTAAAATGAACTGTGAACCATGAAAGGGAGCCCTTAGCTGGGTATGCAGGTGCAAGCCCATGATTCCTGCACTCTGGGAGGTTAAGTTTGAGCCAGTCTGGGAAATTTGGTGATTTAGTGGGACTCTCTGTTTCAAGATTAAAACTAAAAAAAAAGCTGGGGATGTATTTTGGTGGAGAGGCCATGCATTAAATCCCCAGTACTGCAATACACAAACAAATAAATTTTTAAAGTAAAGTGAGCATTGTTTTTTGCTAAGATACAAAGAAGTAAATGAATAACTTATTAAAACTTTGTCCTAGTTTCATCTGGGTCTCATATAACTCCTTGTTTTTTTTGCTTTATTCATCTGATTTTGTCTGTAATAAGAATATTATGAACATTTTGCTTTGACCAAATCTTTATAACTGTACAAGTAGTATTTGTGTTTTCAGCAATATTGCAATGCATTTCTGGAGAACTGGATGCTGGGCCAATTGAGTTGTATCCTCCCCTCCCCAAATTAATGGTGGTGGCTGGAGTTTGGAACAGAAGCAAAATCATACAGTTAACCATGCCCAGAGTATATCACTAAAAAGCAGGCTAAAGAGATGTCCATACTGGAAACAGTCTTTTCACTATAATTGACCCTTAAACCTCAGCAATTAATAAAAAAAAAATAGAAGCATGAGAAAACAAGGGAAGAGAATGCATCCCCAAACCTCCCAGTTTCCCCAAAGCTGATCCATAGGAGCTGATGAGGAGGAAATTAAAAGCAAAACAGCTGAAAAAATTTTATAAGTAAAGCTTCAGAAATTCATTCATATATGAATTTAGCTTACAGACAAAATAATGTAAACAGGGATCTTGTCGTTTGATTTAGAACCCCACACTGTTATTCTGAACAAAAGATTTGTAAATTTAGACACTAACGACAATAGATTTTAAGAGCCCAAAGAGAGACAGCAAATGTCAGTTGATTCTGTCCCTTATTCTGACACAGAGCAGGTGAATTTGATCATAGAACGTCCCAGGCCCACACTCCCATAGTTTTCAACTGGAAAGTGCAACAGCAGAGCATTTTTCAAAATGAGAATCTTCCATATGAAGCCCCGGTTCTGTGTGGATTGAATGTCATGGGATGGGCTTTTCGCTCATATAATGAATGAGCCAACCTATCCTGGAACTCAGACATCTCAGTACACAGTGGAGCACCACAGTGAGCAGGGAAAGGGAAGGAAACCCACAGCTCCTGAGCACCTCTTCAGTAGTAGTCATAGGCACCTGTGCAAACACCCTCGAGCCCAGAACCCTTCCACCAAGAGAATAGGATCAGACAGAAGATGTGGGTCCAGAGAGGATGAAGGACCTCAAGAGATGGCCTGGTCTAGGCCATCACCACCGGGGATGGAACAGACCAATAACGGTCTTATAGACACTAAGTTCTTTTATGAGTTGAACTTTCCTCCAAATTTAATATTGAAAGCTATAGTGGGATTTAGTAGACATGCACTATAGGTTGAGAATCCCTATTCTGAAATCTGAAATCCAAAACACTTAAAAATCCAAAATTTTTTGAGCACTGACCTGATGCCACAAATGGAAATGTGATGAGTCTCCGTCAAAACACAGTGCAGTGAAAATATTGTACAAAACCAGCTTCAGGCTGTGTGTACAAGGTATATATGGAACATACTGAATTTTTTGTATAGGCTTGGGTTCCTTCTGCAAGGTATCTCATTAAGCATATTCCAATATCCCAAAATCTGAAACAACCTCAAATCCTGAATACTTCACATTTTGGATACGAAATACGTAACATATAGCAGAAAACATCTTCACTGAAACTGCCTGGGACACAGGAGAGGCGAGGGTGCCAAAACTTTCATATAGAATTTGTTAACTCCTAAAGCAGGGTTTGCTGAGATTCAGGCAGGTGCCTGAATGTGTGGACAAAAATTGGAGACCACGAGCTGGAGAGGCAGCTGCCAGGGTTTTTTGGCCCATCACTGCCCATGGGAAGGTGGCCTAGATCAGACGGATCTTCCAGTTTGTCCCAAAAAAGCTGAAATCTGGATTCGCACCTGGAATATCACTTTTAAAAATTGTACCAAACAACTCACAAATTTTATAACCATCTTCAGTGCAGGCAAAACACACCGGTGGTTGGGTTCCTCAGTGTGGACGAGGGAATGATTCTCGGGGAATCAGGAGAAGAAAACCACTATTTTGCAACCAAGTGTTTTGGTTTTTATTTCTAAGAAAACTAACTTGCCCTCTGTGAGTGATAGGATATTATGAAAGTCTTTTTCTCCCTTTGCAGGTATGCTGGAATGGTCTTGGCATGTTTCAGAACCTTGAGAAGTCCTGCAGGAAAGAAAGTTGTTCAGCTTCCTTGTTGCTCCCATGTAACCGAAGGCCTTTGATTTTCTTCTCGTAGTACTTAAGAGCATCGCACAGAACACACTTTAGTGTCAGCAGAAGAAATGACTTGTGATAGAGGCCTGGAATGAAGTCATTTCTCAGCCTCCTTCACCCACATGTTTGTAGCTATGTGACAAACACTGTCCAGAGATGTGGGGAAAGCGTTGTGTGGGATATCAGGGAAGGTTCCTTCTCCATCTTTTCTGTCCCCTGGACTTGGAAGTGATGGGCGATGTCACAACGTGGTATTGAGATTGGACATCAGGAGCTAAGGTCATAGAGCAGAAAAAGCCTGGGTCCAAAAGTCTTTTCATTTTTCCAAATCTTATTTCATGTTAATAAAATCGTGGATTTGCTTTATAGGTCTTGTGGTTTTCTTATTTGAGGTTAAGCTTTTTTTCCGCTAGTGCTGGGGTTAGAACCCAGGTTCTCAGGCATGCTAGGCAAGCGTTCTTCCACTGAGCTACACCCTCAGGCCTGTGGTTTTTTAAAAATATATTTTCCTATCTATTTCTCTCTCCAGCTCCCAGTAAAACAGAAACAAAGACTCAACAAAGGAATCCTGGGCACGAAAGAAAGATCTAGATGCTTGCTCGCCAAGTGAGTTTTTCTGCTCTCAAACACTACAGAAGGCTGGGGCGAGGGCGAGGAGAAGACAAAGTGCAGACACAGATGGGAGGGACTTGTCGTCTTCATGGGGAGAGTAAGGAAAGGAGGCTCCCTGCCAGGAGAACCCAGTGTGGAAGGAAGGAATTCTTAGGAGACTAAACATCCTAAGAGCAGGTCCTCACCAGCCCCCAGCATATGTGGACAGCTTACACACACACAGCAGCCTGGGGAGAGAAAAGGGGGCCTTGGAGAGCAGCATGCGGATGGGGCATGTAGGAAAGACCTTGCGTACCTCCAGAGCACACGTGGGTGCAACCAGCTGAGAATGTTCCTATGATGGCTACCAGGGATCTCGCATGTGCCACATTTATCAATCCATCAAAACCCCCAAAGACACAGGTTTCATACTGTCTCCAGAGGACTAGTGTTAGGATGCCAGACCACCCAGGATGCTTATAAATCAGTGATTGAAAACTCAACTGCCTTCGGCACAGTGGAGGAACCTACGGTAGAGTGGAGAGTACCCATCTCCCAGAGGGATCCAAGTTCTACTTCTTAAGGGAAGAGGCTGCTCAAAGTGTCCTTTACCGCTTCCACCTATAACTCACCTGTTCCAGAACTCCGGGTGCCCAGGCACACAAAAGCCAGGAAGTTTTTCAATGCGTGACATTGTTATTAATTTTGTGATCAGATAAGAGGTCTATTCTGCTTGTAAAAGCAGTAGAGCGAATGTTTCTCTTTGACCCTATGTACAATGTGCTAGGAAGTCCCCAGAAAAAGCCTGATTAAGACTGAGATAAGGGTGGCATCAATAAACAAAAAGAGTTGCTAAGAATACTTTCTTTATCTCAGCATAATTCCTTATTTAGCGTCAATGGTTCTAGACCTTTTATCACATACCATCTACTCAGAGTTGACAATGGGACCTGGAAAACAGAGTTACATAAATGCCAAAGCAGCCCTGGTGTGTGTGTTTGTTTCTATGTGTGTGTGTCCATGCATGTATGTGTGTACACGTGTATATGTCTGTGTGTGATCAGAAAATCCTGGATCGTATATGCTTGGAGGGGATGTGGTGTCTTGACTTTGGCTCCTCTGGTCTCATCTCACCTCCTCTTCCCCCCACACTGATCAACCAGAGAGGACTCTGAAAGGGCTGTGTGGAACACAATTGGGGAATCACTAAAATTCAGTCACCTTATTAGGACCAAATTGTTGACAATAACCTCATTAGCTAGGGGCAGAAATGTGACTAGAAATGTTAGGTAAATAAATAAACTAGAGAATCTATCAGAAGCAAATACTTTAATGAATGGCTAACCAGTATCAGCATGCTGATTTTACTCAGCGTGCTGCTAACCTGTAATGAGCAGAACAGATATAGCTGCTTTACTTCTTCCTTCTCTTCTTTTCCTCCCCCTTCTCCTTCTTTTGCTTTCTTTCTCTTTCTCCTTTTTAGTGTTTTGAGATAGAATCTCACCGTGGTGTTCTTTTCCTACACATTCAGCTTTTAAATATCTCATCCCCTGCCAAATATTCATTCGGGGGGGGGGAATCTAATATTGATTTTACATCTCCATATGAATTTACATAAACATGTTGCAACTTTCCAGGACCATTAGTTACCAGGAAAACATGATGAGTTTTTTCCCCTACAAAGGAAAATTTCAGGCTGGTTATAGATTATATGGGACTTTGCTGAACCCCTTAAATATTCCCTCACATAGACAACTGAGCTACACAGACATTTCCTATTCAGCCAGGAAGAAAATCTTCTTGCCCAGCACTTGTAAGCAAATTTTGTTGTGTAAATATTGTCATTATAAAAAAAAAAAAACAGTAATCTAGGCAATGAGCACACTAAATAACTAAACAGATGACTTGTAAACAATATAAATAGCCTAGCTGCTCTTTCTGACTTTCCACAGTTTCAATGATCATGAAGGTTAAATCCAGATATTTCAGAAAAATCTGTTTTTATTCTAACTGCTAGGATGAGACTATGGAAACTGTTTGTTTTGGACAGTGGTAATCCTCAGAGTGTTAAAGAGGGCATGCTATCCCATTTAAGCTTCAGTAAGCTGTAACTGGATACTTTTCCTGTGCCAGACACAGTGCTACTGATTTCTTGTGAATTCTGATTCATAGGAGGTGGCTCAAAGCACCATCCCTCTGAGTAAAGAGTTAGCAGTACTTATTTGTCATCTGTGTGATATTTGGAATCCCCGGCAGGCTGTCATAGATTATGAGATAGAGAACCTGGAGAAGATGGGCAAGTGCATTCTGCCTTCCTCTCATTGTATAGATGAGAAATCAGAGGTGTAAGACACACGGAGCGGCATAGGACAGGTCTCTTTCGTGCACCCTGGGAAGGGCTGGGAGCCACACGACCGCCACCCAGGCTGAACCTGCCTTCTCCGTCTCTACAGCGGGTCAGAATTCCTTGGGGGCCACAGACCATTGCATGACATCTCCTGAGCTAGTGCCAGTCATACCTGCTGACCAGGCTGAAATGCCAAGATAGGAAGCAAGGCTGGCCTGTGAACCAGGTCTCCAACTGAGCAGCAGTCTGGTGATATTTCAAGAGCTGATGCCCCGAGAGAAGGGCTGTATGGAGCCCAGAGGCTTCCGCTGACGGTCCCTACCTGGTTACTGAAAGAATGCAAAAAAACCAAGAACTTGGCCACCGATCCACACTCCCCACTGGCTTCTGTGGTGATACTGCACGGAAAAGTGAGCCTTTCCTCTCCTCTCCCTTCCTTCTTCCTGCCTTAACTCCCTCCCTCCCTTCCATTCTTCCTTCCTGCCATTTTTTCTTCCTCCTCTCCTCCTTCTCCTTCTTCCTCTTCCTCTTCCTCCTCCTTCTCTTCTCTCTCTCTCTGTCTCTCTTCTCTCTCTTCCTCTCCCTGCTCTCCTCCCCTCTCCCTCCCTTCCCATAATTGGATTCTTTCATCTGCATGTAATTTGATCCTGCTTATTTCCTTGCACATGGACTAGAGGATGATTTCCTTTGTCATATTTTTTGGTTTAGAAGCTAAGCTAACAAGCATCAAGGCCCAGAGCCAGTTTCTTTCCTTTGTAAAAACAGAACTATTTTTGAAAACCAAAAAAAAAGAAAAGAAAAAAAATCTTTAAATAAGTTTTGATGCTCTCAGACCAGTTAAAAGCCTTACACAATATTTAGGCAATTTTTGTTCTACCATCGTGACAGTAATTTGAAAGTAGATGCTGACCCAGCTTTTGAGGTTGAAGCATGACCTAAAGGCAATTTTTAAACTGTTTTGTACCAGGGCCTGCTTTAGTAGTTTGGTGAAATCTATTTTACTTAGAATAATATTTTTAAATGTATAATACAAAATAACCACAGGATTATAAAAGAAACTGTACCGATATTTATTTATACAAATATTTTAAAATTGTGAGATACTGTGTGCTTTTTATTAACATACTAAATAACAAGTCTTAAGAATTATCAACATTTCTGAGACTGAGAATAAATAATATTTCTAGATATCAGTAGCAACCCTAATATCCTATAAAATAGGCCTGCTTTTAATTGGTTGTGCGGCCACAGAGGCTGCTAGTAGTACTGAGGTTTGCTGCCTGCATTCAGAATTGAAAGAATTAGTGCAAATAGAGATGTTTTCCCCTTAAATTCATGTCATCCACTGAGACCCATATACAATCTGCTGGTGCTGACCAAGATAAGAGTTATAGCTAAGTTAAAGTGATGAGTTCTGCTCTGTGCAACCCTAGGGACTGACAGGCAAGGACAATTTGCAGGTGGTTAAACCTTCTGGTTTTTTATAATCACTTCAGGGTTTTGTGAAGCATGCACTTGCAATCCATTCCCTTGTTTTATTATGTTCCTAAGTAAGGTTCCTCATCTTCATAGAGCATTGTTCCTCAAGTACACGCTGGGATTGTATCAGGAAGTCAACTCGAGCACTTTATGGAGATGAAACAATTGCAAATAAATATTCTGTGGCTTTAGAGGGTCTGGAAACCCAGGCTGAGGGATATCCACCTCTTCTTGGCTCCGAGACAACTTTGGTGGCAATAGGCCCATAGAGATGACCTTTAGAGTTGTGGACAAGGACAAGAGTCCTTGGGACAATGGCTCAGAGTGATACAAAGAACTGTTCTGCACCCAGGGAGTGGAGACAGAGGCAGAGTGGATGTGATGGGCTGTCTCAGGGCTGCTTAGAGAAAACATTTCTCCCAGGTCCTGACCTAAATACAGACTTTGCTGCCTACAGAAAAGATGTTAGGCCTTCAGGTTCTTCTTTTTCTTCTTTAAAAACTTAATTAAACCTGGCCTCCGTTTCCTTCTCTATTATCTATTACACCCTTCTCTTTGGCATTGACTTTCTTCTTTGGGGATTATCGGTGCCAAAGTTTTGCCTTCATTAATCCCACGGCTGTCCCATCCAACCCTACCGTGCAATTCAAAAACGTCATCAGGTCTCAATTTGAGACGAGAGGGTTTAACAGTCCACAGTGGAAGCAAACTCAAGGAGAGAAAAACAAACAAATAAATAATAAAAGGCTTCTTTAAAAAAGTATCAATAATTGCCACTGAAAAAGAGATTAAAACCTAGGTAAAAAAAAAAGAGGAAAGTTTCACTCTATAAAACAGACACTGCACCATCTGGCAACAATACCATTAGAATTTGTTTTTACATGAAGTACATCTTACTCTTGTGTTTAGAAAAGTAAAATTAGGCAGAGCTGGCCACCCCGTTATCATTATTAATCTTACTATTCATTTATGAATTCAATTCACTTATATGATCTGATTCTTGAACTCATTGTTATGGACTAGCAGCCTGTGATTTCCTTACCCTTAGATGAACAGAAAGGAAACCAACAGTACTCTGCTGATCTTTTTCTTTATGGCTTTATTACAGACCTCATTTATCCATCTCCCTAGCATTTGTTTCTTTTTAAGTAAAACATGTGAAAGATTACTAGAATCTCTAGCTTCCAAGGTCACCAGTTTTAGCTTTTCAGCACTCTTTTTTAGGATAAAACATGGACAATCCTCAATCTTTGAAATAAAGACATCTTTCCTTCATTTTAGCTACTTCTTATCTCCTAAGTCCTCTCTCCACCTCTGTTGCTAACGACCTCACGGTGTATTTGGATTTCTGGACGATCTGTTTTTGTTGCTCCCTGGACAGGAGCAGACCTGCTGGGAGCCAGAATACAAACCCCGCGCAGGTTGAACAGAGTGAGGAGTCTGTCCTTCCTCCTTCAGGGCTCGGGATCCTTGACTCTAGATAGTACGGAAAACACAAAGACCCTCCTCCCTGGCTTCAATCACAGCGACAAAAATTGGCTGCAGACGCTGTGTGTTTCTGTATGTACTTCACACTTCATGGCAGCACTGTTGGTGTGCTCCTTAAGACTGCTTTCCAACAGCTACCATCTGGATCCAAATGTGACGGAATACACACACTCCAACCTTCTCTACACATGAGAATGAAAGAGAGCAACTACTGCCACCTCTTAGAAAGGTCCCTGTGCCAAATCGAACCAAAGGAAAACCGCAGACTTTTGTACCACAGCCAATGTCTAAACATGCTTGTTTTCCGGGCGTCTCAAATTTCTGAAGCTAAAGCCATTAGTATAGAAATTTTCCCCATCCACCACGGGCACACAGCACCCCTGAGCTACTCACCGCACAATCTGCTAGTGGGTCCCTCATGTCCAAGGGCTTTTCACTTTTGTCCTTTCACCTACTCTCCAGCACTTGGACGTTGCAGTCAGGGCTGGGTGTGTCCTGGACTTCCGGGATTCAAAGGACCAAGAGTACGTCAGTCCCTGTCAAACACACCAAGGAGGAAGTCTCAGCCCTGGATTTTCATCCAGTTTATTTCCTGAAAAAGCAAAGAACAGCTCTGGGTCAAGACGGCCAGTGTGAGTTGGTGAGAGAGACATCAGCCAACACCCAGCGAGCAGGACACTGTGTCCCCAAGGGTGGCCTTGAGGGGAGGGCTGGCAGCTGTAAAATATTCCCATAGTTCTGCTGCCCAGGATGGTGATAAGGGTCTCACGTTCTCTCATCTTGCTGTACAAGTCATGTTTTTCGTTCTCTGTAGGTTATGCTGTCTTTAAGATTAGCCTCCCTTGCTGGTTTCCATAAGGAACGCCATCCTGTCCCACTATTCCATAAGGAATAGCGCAAGCTTCACTCTTGCAGGTGGATGGGACAACTATACCCCACTCCTCCCCAGCACCTCTCCATAGACTTTCTTTTATGCCTGGACTTGCTAGATTAAAATACCTCCACCTTGCATTAGTGTCCCCCTTGCAGACTGTTTAAGGGCAGCAGGATGTCCTGGCTGAATGCAGATTGACAATTAGAACCATTTATTCAGCTTTCCAAAGAGGACAGAAAGAGAATTGTTTCTTTTATCTCTTGTTGCAACTACACCATGTAACAACAGAAAACCCAGTGGCTTCAAATGACACAGAATATATTCAACCCCAAATCTGTAGTTAGCTGGTGGTTCTTCAGCCGGACTTATTTATGTAAAAGCAGGACATGGCACAGCTCTTTGCCACTGGGTGGATGGGCAGCTAATCTGGACTATGTTGGGCAGGTAGCTGGATGTGGGTGGACTATGGACTGAGGCAATTTTCCACCAGCCGGTAGCCTAGCCCTGCTGTTCCCAAAGCTCATCAGAGGAGCCCAGAGAGTGAGTGGAAGAGCTTGAGATTTCCTGAGGTGCAGACCTGGAACCGATACACCACAGCATTAGCCACCACAGGCCAGCCCACATTCCAGAGGGTGGAGCTAAATGTCGCACTGCAAAGGCATAGGTATAGAGAGGGCCGAGAATTAGTTTTTATTCAATCTACCACAGTGGCCAGTCAATATTTGCTCTTAAGTGACATGAGAGAGAAAGGAGAAAGCACAGGAGTGGCTGCTCTGTCTTCCTCCCCCGCTCCCACACAGTCCCAGAGTTCACAGGCTTTGGACTTCAGCAGAGATTGGGCTTTGCATGACACATAAGAGGAGCTAAATTCCTGAGAGGTTCTAGATGTAGACCTGGAAGAGGACCATTTCCCCTCTATCCACGCAGGCCCCCTAACAAGCCCTGCCACAGGACACAGTGGAGAACTCCCCTCCTGGAAGGCAGAGCCCAGCAGGGCTGACTAAGGGTGTCACTGGCAGCTGGCACCAAGGCTGGTGAGTCACCTTGACAAGGTAGCCAGGGCAGGTCGAAGTGAGTAAATGTGTCCCCGGGCCTCCCTCAGTCCCAACCTCCTGGAATGACCTTGGGAGGAGACGGAGGAGGAGGCTGAGCTCTACTGTGAGTCAGAGGCTTTGGAATTCACCCCATCATCACCTCATCTTTACCCATAGGTGGAGAACTAAACTTACAGTGCAGCATCTCTACAAAGAAGACATACCATCCCCTTTTTCTGAAAAACTTAGTGCCCAAGCATATTTTTGAGCTCTCTGCCCACAAATTTGTCTCTACGTGTAAGAGCCTGACCAACACTCATTCTCTGGCTTCTTCCTAGCCCAGCCTCCAGGGTGACTTCCTGTTTGCCTTCTCAGATCCCAACCTCCCAGCCTCAGTCCAGTCTTTGCTCCCATTGACCTTCCAGGCAGGGTCTCTCTGCAGAAATAAAACCTGGAACGGATTATCTTTGCTTCTGGCCTGGGAGCTGCTCCACTGAACTCCACCTCCCACATATTGTGCTGCCTCCAGGGGGAGTTGACAGCATTTGTAGATCACTATTAATTACTCATAAAACAAATGGTGGGTGTTGCTAAGTTAGTAAGAAATAGGAGCCTACACGTGAATAGAAACTAAGGGCAACTTCAATAAAATGCATCCTATGTGTTAGCTTCCTGTCCCTGTGACAAAATACCTGAGAAAAATACTTTAAAAGAAGAAATGTGGAAAAACTGGCTTTCCACAGGCTGAAGATTGAAACTACACCCATATCTTTCACCATGGACTAACCTAAATTGAAATGAATCAAAGATCTAAATATTAAAACAGACACACTAGATCTGCTGGAAGAGAGAACAGGTAGAATGCTTGAGGACATAGGAATAGACAAAGGCTTTATGAACAGAACCCAGACCACAACAGAAATACTACAAAGAATCAACAACTGGGGCTTCTCTTATTAAAAAGCTTTTGCACAGCAAGAGAAACAACCAACAGGGTGAAGAGACAACTCACAGAGTGGGAAAATATTCTTTTACCAGTTATTCATCAAAGGACTAGTATCTAGAATATATAAAGAACTCAAAAAAATTAGACCCCCCCCCAAATTTAAAGACCCAATCCAAAAATGAGCACCTGAAATGAAAAGACACTTATCAGATAAGGAAGTAGAAACAACAAATAAATATATGAAAAAATGTTCAACATCATTAGTCATTCAAGAGATGTAAATTAAAACAACACTGAGATTCCAACTCAGCCCAGAAAGAAAAATCAACCAATCACAAATGCTGAAGGGTCTGTGGGGAAAAAGGAACCCTTCTTCACTGCTGGTGGGAGTGTAGACTGGTACAACCACTGTGGATATCAGTGTGGAGATTCCTCAAAAAACTGAAACTAGAGGTTCCATTTGACCCAGCTATTCCTCTTGGTTTCTTCCTGAAATAATGAAAAGCATCATACCACAGCAATATAGGCACACCCATGTTTACAGTGGCACAGTTTGTAATAGCTAAATCTTGGAAACAGCTCAAATGTCCACCAACTGACAAATAGATAGGGAAGATGTGTTTTTTATACAATGAAGCACTACACTACTCTGCCATAAAGAAGGATGAGCTTTAGACCTTTATAGCTAAATGGATGGACACTGAGACCATATTCTTAAGTGAAATAAATCAGACACTCATGTTTAAGTACTGCATTGTTTCTGCATTGTGAGAAACTGAAAGTGAGCATAAGAACAAACATGTATAATAGATATTGGGAAATGGGAAGCAAATGTTCACATGGGCAGGGGAGCAATGGAGGAGGAGGGGAGAAAGGAAGGAAGGGACAAGAAAAACAGCGAAAGTAAAAAGAAAGAATGAAACAAAGCTTTTGTACATAGTGAGGAGAGGGGGCATCAGGGAGGTGGGCATGGGAAAAAAAGGAACAGGATGTACAATATATAGGTATAAATTCCCTATGAAGAGTGTTACCATTATGTACACCTAAAATGTACTGATACATGTGCTATTAAAAAAGAAGAAATGTTTATTTGGCTCAGTTTTAGATATTTCAGCTCATAAAGCCGGGCGTGGTGGCACACGCCTGTAATTCCAGCACTCAGGAGGCCAAGGCAGGAGGATGGCTGTGAGTTCGAGACCAGCCTGGGCTACATAGTGAGTTCCAGGTCAGTCTCAACTGCATAGTGAGACCTTGTCTCAAAAAAACAAGCAAAAAAAAAAAAAAACCGAAATTTCAGCTCATGTTTGGTTGGCTTTGTTGTGCCAAGGCAGAAGACCATGGTGGAAGAAAATTGTTTAACTTCATGGTGGCAGCTGGGCAGGGTTGGGGGAGGCACAAGATAAAATCCCCATGACCTTTCAATGAGATCCCACCCCCCTAAGTTTCTGTTCTCTCCCCATAATGCCCTCAGATCACAAGTCCATCAGCGGAAGAACCCACTGAAGTTAGATCCCTTGTGATCCAGTCACCTGCTGCACTGGGAACCTACGACACATATGTCCAAATCACATGATCTGGGAAGTTTGTAAAGTAGCTAAAACACGCAACAACAATAATAACAAACAATAAACATCTTCAATAGGAACCTAGTTAAACATCTTATGGTAATCTGAGCTCTTAGAGAATTTACCATGTGTCAGGTACTGTTAAAAGCTCCACAAATAGGAATGTTTGAGAGATCATTTGAAGCAGATACATATTATTTCATCCTTGCAGCCCATGTAGGGAAACCAAGGTACAGGACAGTTATCTACTCAGGGTTACACAGTTAGTGTGATCATAGGATTCTTCTGACTTAGGTGCTCCTCTGTTTAATTACTATGCTATACCCACTCAGTCCAGACGAGGGGATACTGAATAGCCAAAGGATGAGGATCTAGTATAAAACACTTAATTGTATGTACTGACTTAGAACAGGTTGTAAAATGACGATGACTCTCATTTGCATCTATATAAGAAAAGAAGAGGGGGTGAAGGGAGGGTGGGGACAAGGGGAAAAAATGAGAACCAAGACCTGTCATGTAAAGGTACAAGATCCCAATAATGAATGTAATTGTACTGTATACCTAAAATGTACCAATAAACTCAATGAGAGAGAGAGAGAGAAAAGAAGCTGGGTATGGTAGTACACGCCTGTAATCCCAGCACTCTGGGAGGTGAAAGCAAGGGGATCTCAAATTCGAGCCCAGCCTGGGCAATTTAGGAAAACCTAAAATAAAAAGTAAATAAATAAGACGAAAATTTAGGAAGACTTTCAAAATTAAAAAAATGACCAGGGGTGTAACTCGTTGGGAAGGCCTTGGGTTCAATCCCCAGTACAGAAAAAAGAAAACCGGAGCACATGTACACTGTTTGCAGTAGAGTACAGCTCTGAAAGTTGAGATTATAGATGATTTCTAGGTCATGCTCTTCTGAACAATTTTAACCTTGAAACAGGTATTATTCTAGAAATCTTTTTAAAACACAAGTAAAAACATTTAAAGGGTGACAATTATGTTCACTTTGCGTTTTTTTTTTTTTTTTTTTTTTTTTCAGATGAGGTCTTACTATGTTGCCCAACTTGCTCTTAAATTGAAGACTGCAGCTCAACACACCCGATTCCCGCAGCAGCTGGGATCCCGGCGTGCTCTCTACCTGGCTGTTAACCAGGAGCTGCTGACAGGAGCCATGGAGCAGTGTGCCTCGTCATTTCCTGCCGCGAGGGCTTTGCAGACGCTATCCCCGCTT